GCAACTTCCGAAACTGCTAAATAAATTAATAATTATTCACCTTCCATTGATTTTGATAACAGTGGAGGACTAGACAAATACCTTTTTAAGTCTTTCGACGCTTGATGATATTCCGGAATCCACACGAAATCATTCTTCTTTTCAAGAGTGAAAAGAAATGATGGCATTTCTCCTAAGACCTTGATATAAACCTGCTTAGGGCCGCCAACCTGGCGGTCAACCTTTGCACTTTCTTCACACTTGTTAATTGGTCTGGAATATCCGAGATGGCTTTTATCTTATTGGGATTTACTTCAATTCCTCTTTGAGGAACCAAAACCCCCAGAAATTTTTCGAAGCCAATTCCAAAAGCGTATTTTTCGGGTTGAGCTTCATGTTGTATTTTCTCAGAATATCAAATGTCTCTTATAGATGAGCCAAATTTTCTCCTACATTAAGAGACTTAACCAACATATCATCAATATAAACCTCCATAGTTTTACCAATTTTTTGTTCAAATATTTTATTAACGAGCCTTTGATAAGTGGCTCCGACATTCTTAAGCCCGAAAGGCATCACATTATAGCAGTATGTGCCAAAATTTGTGATAAACGAGGTTTTTTCTTGGTCTTTCGGGTGCATCCTGATTTGATTATACCCAAAATACGCATCAAGAAAACTCATTAACTCATGCCCGGCCGTAGCATCAATCATTTGATCAATATTAGGCAATGAGAAAGAGTCCTTAGGGCATGCCTTATTCAAATCTTTATAAGCTACACATATTCTAAATTTATTATTATTTTTAGGTACAACCACTACATTAGCTAATCAATCTGGATAATTTACCTCTCGGATTGAATCTATACTCAGTAACCGGGTTACCTCTTCTTTGACAAACCTGTTTTCTGACCTCTGCTACGGCCGTTTCTTTCGCCTTACTGGAGGGAAGTTAGGGTCCAAACTTAGATCGTGGACAGACACTTCCAATTGAATACCTGTCATATCTGAGTGAGACCACGCAAAATAATTTATGTTAGCTTTAAGAAAATCAATAATTTTAAGTATTAATTCGGAGCTCAACCCCGTTCCCAGGTGGAACGTTTTTTCTAAGAACTCCGTGAGGCATCTTGTTCGAGCTCCTCTACGGTCGACTTGGTTGCGTCCTTTTCCTCCGGCACCTGAAAAGTCCTCGGTACCTGATAAAACTCCAATGATGCCTCTCCTCCATTATCTTCAACCAGAATGGATGAGGACATCGGTTCCTGTAGTTGCTATTTGCTTGTTCCTTTTGCCTTGCTACTGGACAAGGTAACTATATTCATTTCTCTTGAAGCTAGTTGATCTCATCTAATCTTTTTGACCCGTTCCGGTGTGGGAACTTCAGTAGCTGATGGTAAGTCGATGGCACATCCTTCAGTTCACGAATTCATGATCTTCCAAGTATCACGTTGTATCCCATGTCACCATCTATACTTAGAAAAGAGTGGTTTTTGTTACGCCATCGGCATGCATGGGTAGTAAAATCTCTCCTCGGGTCATTACACTTGTAAAGTTGAACCCGGCCAGAAGCTTTGTTGCCGAAACTATGTTTCTGGTTAACTTTGCTTGTTCAGAAAACTCTCCATTGAATGATATTGGCTGATCTGCCTGGATCAATCAACACGCATTTAATTTTAAAATATAAGACATTAAGCGATATTACCAGAGCATCATTGTGTAGTAAAAGACTGCCATCAACATCCTCTTCCGTGAAGGTGATTTCATCATCTTCTGATGCTTCCCAGATCTTTTTGCCATGAGTTATCAATATCTTTGTCTTCTTTGTCGTTGAAAATGTCACCCCATTTACTTCGTCACCACAAAATATCATGTTTATCGTTAAGCGTGGTGACCCTGCAGCCAGTTTGGCTGGTTCCACAGCATCTCGATTCTTCCCAGAATTTATTTTGGCCCAATCACTTAGAAATTCTCTAAGGTGACCATTCTTCAATAATGCTGCAACCTTTTCACGAAGGTGCCGACAATCCCCAGTCCTATGAACATGTGTTCCATGGAATTCACATTATAGATTAAGATTCCTTTGACTAGGATCCGATCGAATTGGTTTCGGGAACCTAGCCTCCTTAATATTTCTCATAGCCGACACCAATTCTACTAAGTTGATGTTAAAGTTGTAGTCGGATCACCGGGGGTATGCTGAATCCTGAGACACCAATAGTTCCTTCTCCTATAAACCTCTGCTACTCCGATCACGATCCACCCTTCTATCGGAAGCAAACCTGTCTGATAGCTGAAATCCTTTATTTTCACGCCCATCAACCCTTTCGTAATACTAAAAGCAACTCCTATAAGATCTTCGATCTGCACCAAAATTAGTTTTGAACTTTCCTGATCCCGATCACGATTATTTCCTTTGGAAGACACCGAAAAGCTTAGTTGATCATCTTCCATTCTAATTTTTGATTCAACACGATTATAGACATCTGCCCATGTAGTTGCCTGAAATTCTAACAAGCTTTCCTTCAATTTTTTGGAGGCATCAGAGCTTAATAGATTGAGACCTTTGGTGAACGCTTCAACTGCCCACTCATCCGATACTGCCAGCAATAACATCCTCTTCCTCTGAAATCGAATCACGAACTCTCGCAATAGTTCAGACTCTCCTTGAGTAATTCTGAGTATGTTCGTATTTTTAGCTTGGAGTTTTTTTGCCCCGGCATGAGCTTTAACGAAAGAATCTTCAAGCATTTCAAAGAGTCAATTGAATGCCTAGGTAAAAGAGAATACCAAGTTAAATCTCCCTTCATTAGGGTTTCGCCAAATTTCTTCAACAAAACATATTAGATCTCCTGCGGGGCCAAGTCATTTTCCTTTATAGCCGTAGTGTAAGTCGTGATATGCTCTCATGGATCCGAAGTCTCATCATACTTGGGAATATCTGGCATCTTGAATCTTTTCAAAATTAATTCCGGGATCGCACTTAGTTTGAACAGCAACTTCGTATACTTCGTTGAATTTGGACCCTTCAATACCAGTGGCACTCCCGGGATCTAATCCATCCGAGCATGGAAGTTTTTAGAATTATGGTCCATTCGTTCATTCATTTCCCTCATGAATCTCATGAGCTCGATTTTAAAAGGATCATTAATATTATTTTCGTTCCCGGATCCACTACCTGCACCACCTGCTTAATTTTTATTAAAATCAAACTCCTCCCTTGGGGAAATGTTATCGGTTCTTTGTGTTGTTTGATTTGCAGGCATGTTGGGAGGAATCTGAACTCCTCCATTGGAGTTATTGGAAGCAACCGAAAGCGCTTGCTTCAATTCCGTCATCACCCGATCTTTCCGTGAGAGATGCTTCATAATTTTTCCTTGTTGCTCTCTTAGATTTTGATTGTTTCAATAACATGTTCATCATCCACATCATCAGGAGTTAGACTTCTCACATGCCGAGGATTTTGTTCTTCACGAACATGCATTGTTTCATCTCTTTCGTTGCGAGTTTTACTAGTTGAATCATCACGTTGGAATACATCCTCATGCTCGTTGTGCGTTCCAACATTGTAATAATTGTTTACATCATTAGCTAGCCGCCATATCTGATTTTTCTTTTACTAGAGAAAAGAATCAAACTGTATTAGTAACAGATGAATGGATCAAAGTAATTACACAATTGTACTGAATTAATTTATAAAACGGTACAATTGAATTTGTAACGTGGTTTATAGATATGTGAATTAATCTGATCCAAGAATATAGAATAAGTAAGAACAGAAATAAGTTATTAAAATAACTTGAACGAAATAGAAGCTTGGTTGTGGACTTAGCTTTTCCGGAAGTAGTAATAAGAGCAATATTAATAACAAAAGAAAGAGAGTAATTTGATATAATAAGAGCAGATTTTAGCCTTTGTGTACCGATGATTTTTCATGTCCAACTATGGATACAAATTCTCCTATTTATAGCTCTATTCAGGACGACAAGATTCCAAATCAAGCTCTTCTTCTTTAATGAGAATAAAACCCCTCTTGATGGTTGCATAACGGTTGACCATTAATACAGAGATTCTTTATAATGGCTGCTCATTAAATGTTGTCTTTTTTAACCGATGTCTTCCTTTCAAATCTTTGTTCTCGGTTCCAATGCCTTCGGAACTTATTTAGCACCGATCACATGTTTGTATCTGGAACCAACTATTTGCTGACTCATATCTTACCTGTCTTCATTTTCACGTGTCAACTCGTCGAGCGTCCCCATGATGTTAATCAATTTTGCCCCATATAATATATGTAATACTCCATCCATGCTAAGTCAAATTGCGTCATAAAAATTAAAAAGGATGGAGTAATAATATTTTTACACGTAATAAACAAGTGGGAGTTTTTCAACCTCCAACACACGGGTAGTTTTCTTTTTAATCAAAGAACAGGCAACGCGCTAGTAAAGCAGTATCATTTCTTCTTTTGGATCGGTGGCTCATGATAAAACAGATGTGCGTGGCAGCGTGGGGTGTGTTTTTGTTAAACAAAGAACATGCAAAGCTAGTAAACCAGTCTGATATGTCATATAGGTTGAACGATCAGCTTAAAAGAGTCTAAAGATGCATTCTAGAAACCTTTTGACTCGCCTTTTCAAAAACAATTAAAAATTAAACCAAGTAAAGAGAATCAGCAGAAAAGGGAAAAGAAAGATGAAGTCATGAAGCAGAGGATCTTACAAGCAGTATTCCAGTAGAATTGAAGTACTTAGACAAATAGTATGTGAAAAATATTTATGCACTAATCACAAATAATGATACACTGCCTTGCTACAAAATCAAAAGATTGAATTTGTACATAATTTGTAATCATAATTGTTAAATTCTCAGAAGAAAATCATAACAAAGTTGATCATTTTCGCCAGGAATTGCGACAATGATCATGAGGCGTCCATTGAAACGTCAAAGTGTCATTTGTAGTGGCACTCATAAACCTCTTCCAATCATGAATCACTGCTGTCAAATCAGCCATTTTGGCACTAATTCCCCGGCAACAGTTGGAATGCCGTAACATCCTTACTATTTTGACAAAATCCACTAAAATAAACAGTATCTAAGAACCTCACTTTAAGGCCTAACTTTCGAAATTCTCCTCCGCGCATTAACTTCTCCAGAACATCTTGTTCTTTTAATCCTGTAGAATTGTCTTTCTTTGCGTACCACTTATTAAACAATGGAATAGTTTTGTTGTTTGATCTGATCATGTAGAATCCTGTGTTAATGGGATTTGCTTTGGACAATTGGTCGCCATTGAATCTGTCTGTACTAATCTGCATGTCTATAGCTTCGTTCAGGCTCAACTTTGGGAATGGATTTCTTAGCCATAATACATCAGTGTCCTGGTCAGAACGAAAGTAGTAGTCAGCTAATTAATGGAGTTTTACTAATAAAGTTTGAATGAACAATACCTTTAATTATTCACAGAATATATATATATATATATATA